ATTATAAAAATATGGAGAACAGCTCGCAAAATGGTTGTCAAGTCTCTTTCAAAACAGTCACCAGAGACTAAACCTCCACAATTTTACAAAGTCAGTCTTGGTCAGTAGTTACAAAAGTGATTGTAATCAATGTTGTGATTGGTAGATTTAGTGGAGAGGACTTAAAATGATTGGCTCATGTAACTGTCCGATTACAGGTGTCCGATTACAGCCAACTGTCCGATCACACTGTCCGATTACAACTTTGCAGATTAATTAGAGCAAAATACAGCAGTTTATGCACCAATCACATTTGAGGAAATTGTAATTGTTATGATTATTATCATTATAAACGCCCTCTGACCGATTAACTCGTTGTGCTCCTGTGTAGGTGATTTGATCAAACAATGTTGAATGGTTAGAGATTAAATGAGTGGATATTTCAGTATTATGAAATACACGATGTTTTGGGTCCACCAGTCCGAACAAAATGAAAAGAAGAAAAAAAAAGGAAAAAGATCTATAACTTACTTCAGGCCAAAACGAATCGAAAAGTAAAACGTTTTTGAACGCCCCCTTTCCCCTGAGGAATGACTGCTTTGAATTGCTAATTGAAGTTGAAAAAGGAGTTATGACAGGATAATTAGCATTCTGACAGTTTGGGTTATCTCTTGTTCATCTTCACGGCTATCACCAGAAAGGAAAAATTATCATAAACAGAACGGTTTCGACTTATTATTGTCATGATCAGTGTTAAAGCCGGCCGAGATTGTTCATGGTATATTATACTTTCGCTAATTCTCAAGGAAACAACTGCACAATATAACAATTAATTTGTTTGTTCAAACCTTTTCGCGAATAATATGATAATATTGTCACAGTTTAATTTGTTATCAAACGCCGCTTTAGAAACGTTTCGAAGTATCTTTGCTCTTTAAATCTGGCAGACTTGGAGCGTCTTTATTTTTCTCTAACGACGGTGAAATGAATCCGATCATAAAATTAATTTTCTGTGGTATTTACAGTTTGTATAGTATGAACAACCACAGCGTGGCATCGCCGTCGGGGAGGGAATGTGAACAGAATTTCTGGAACCGTGCTTACTACTTCTAAAAAACCTCCTTACCTCAGTAATCTCCTCCTTTCACTAGCAGTTTTATGTTTTCGTCTCTTAAGTGAGTTCAAATTCAAGGCAGCCTGTATTACAGCCGCCCTTCTCGAAAGAAAACACAATCGGAGAGAGCACCTGAGTAGTATATAATCGGCTCTGGTTCTCTCTGTCACGGAAAGCTATGCTCTCGGAGGAACAATTGTCTACGCATGCTCGTAATGTTAGCTTGTTTTCTGGGTAATTAAGAAGAAATGAGAAGAAAATAGAAGTAAAGCAATGGAGTACGATTTGTTTGTGCGGTCGGCAAAGGAAGAGAACATCCCACGAATTCGATCGTCCGAGTGGCTGCGAAAGAGACTACTGTAACACAGGCTCTCTCTCAGGGCAAAATGGTTTTATAGAGTCCCTAGCCTGCGCAGTATGCATTCCTGTACGGAGAGCTCCTTCCACATTCTTGTCGCGCGCATTGGAGCGAGAGCAAAACAATCGACGAAGAACACTGTCTGCGCGCGCGGGCAGAAAGCGGAAAAAGCTCTTAGTACGGGTGTACTTGCTACTCATGGTTTTAGACGATTTGCTAGAGTTGCGTCACTCACTTTCCCGTATATTTGCCAGTTAAATTTGAGAAACGCCAACCTACCTGTTGAAAGAACGTTTGTTCTAGGAGACGTCTTCCCTGACGACCAACTGTGACTGAACGAAAGAAAAAAAATGCACGATGAAAACAATGGAATCAAAGAACATGAAAGATGTTAAAATAGATTCCCTTTCAAATCACGCCGATATGACACGCCGATATAAATCTGATCCGTGACATGCAAGGGTCACAGGAAAATAACTTCTGAATGATTACAACGCCTACACTTGCCTGTAGCATGCTAGCCTGTTCCAGGCTGTCGGTAGTTGTGGACGAGCGAAAAAAGAGTGCGCGAGAGAAAATACGAGATTTCTTCCCTCGTCCCTAATTACCAAGAGCCTGGAACAGGGTAGCAGCATACATGAACAAGATAAGTGCCTTGGTCAATTCTAGCACTGCCCTCCCCCCCCCTTCAGGCAATAGCCAGGCGTTTGCTAGCCGACGAGCAGGCTCAGTTTTGGGTGACACAAGCGCAAGCGGTTCAAATGCGAGCCTGTTCGCAGGCTCAGGGCGTTTGCTCACGGTTTAATCCCGGTTATTGCCCAGGGGGCAGGGTATTTACCTACCTCCGGGACAACCCCAGGAACATTTCACACCCTTATGACCACGTGACATCCCAAATAATGGCTTCCAGGGAACCTGAAGCTAGCCAGCGTGGTTAGATTGGTCAATAAGTCTGATAAATACTACAAGGCAGTTCAGCGTTCGAACAAAACGGCTGGAAATCGAGCCAGACATGCAAGAAAGACGGAAGTAGTGCACTTTTCATCTCGTTATCTACAGCGCTAAGCTATAGCTAAAATGAATATTGCGGGCTCTGAAACTGAGACAAGTACCAATGCACGTGATCTTGGTGTCACTCTCGATAGGTACTTAACGATGTCCACTCATGTTGACAACCTTTGCAAGTATGCATCTTATACCCTTAAAAGTATTGGGACTATTCGACAGTGTCAATCAGTATCAATCAAGTACGGAAAAAATGATACACGCCTATGTAGTTCGTATAGTGTGATCGTCCGGGTGAGTGTAGTTCTGAAAAGAACTGTTGTTGGTGACTGACGTTTCGACAACCTGAGCGG